GATGGCTAGTTGTATATACGGGCTCGGTACAAGTAGGATAGCAGATTACCTGGAATGGGGGATCCCAATCTCATATTGTTTAACATCACATCTCACAGCTTATCCTGATTTGGGGGGAGTTGATGAACGGAGATCCTCGCTAAACCCACATTATTTTTTAAAAATATAATATAGTCCCCTAGGTACACATCATCTGGCATCCCAACTTTTTGAAATCAGGTTTTGTTGACCAAACATGAGAGTTTTTATCAAATACAGTTATCACTCAAGGCCCGATAACAGCTACCATCATTGAGGTCTTGAGTTGCTTTCGGACACATCCTGATATTTCAGTGATGCCTCTCCATCCTGTATTATCAAGGAGGAAAAATACACATTCGTGACGAACTCATGGAGCACTGCAAAAGAAGGATTTCACACCCAGTGTGCCTGAAACAATACATGGCAAACAGAGCCAAAAATACCTACTTCTCGCCCCACCCGATTATTCTGTCACTTCTCACCCCCAAAGAAATCTTTTCCTTCAATGCTGACTGCCAGAAGTATCTTTCCTCGCCGGGCCCAGGGACCAGCAACGAGCCTAGTTCCGGAAAAATTAGTGGCCCCAGAAGCCACAAGGGTCATATAATGCCATTTCGGGGAAGAGAATAAGGGGGATTTTGTCGTCCCCGGTGGTGCAGCATTGCTCCTGCACGGTTCTACTATTCGGACTTTAGATGCCGACCTCGCAATTACGCCCAAATCCTTGAACGCCTTTGAAGAAGCCGCTCGGCAAGATGAACGGTTCACCTGTACGCCCGGCTATGCGTGGGAGTTTAAATCATCCTTGTATGTTACGGTACATATCGATTTCCTTGACAAGAGCGGAGTGGGGGGAGTGCGCCGCCACCATTTCCAGGTGTATGGCATCCCCAACGGCCTTCCAATGGCAACCTTGCTAGATCTCGCATTGGCGAGAGGGATTGCATGGCTGGACCGGAGCAAGCAGTGTTCGCTATGGCCCGGGGGCCCCAGAGGCCTCGCGGGGGGACTGCGAAGAGGATTGGACGGGACAGGACTACAAATTTATAATCCGTCTAGTACGGACAATATTGGGGACCACCGGCTTTGGCAAAGACCACAGGCCCGACGTGCTGAGACCCGTTTTTGCCGTCCTTGACAAAGACTATAGGTGTCGGCAAAGGACTACAGGCTCTCACCAGAGGACAGTAGGGATCTATTAGGATCCCCAGGGATCAGCAGGGACCTATGGGGCTCCATGGGACTCCATGGGGATCTGGGGAGATCTGTGGGTAAGGCCTTTCCAAGGTGCCTCATAGGGCCCCACAACCTAAGACATTTTATCAACTAGTTGTGGTACCCATAGTCTTTCCCCATCCGCTTGCCAAGAGCCTGGGGCAAAATTCTCCCCAGGACCGGAGGGACTATGAGTTGTAGTCTGTCTTCGTACTACTCTCAGGGGGGACGGCTTGCTTCGTTTTGAACACTGAGGGCAAAAGAAAGGATTTGCAGTAGTTTGAGTACGTGATTCAGGAAATGGCAAGATAGGGAATGAGCTTCCACGGATTGGAGGGTGACCGGGTTGAGATGCTGGAGGACATATTGGCGGGATTGCGGCAGCATGAGGAAGGAAGGGTATTGTCACGGCTTATTAGTACCCTACGGTGAGTAGGGAATCACTTTGTTCCTAGCTCTGGAAGAGCTAGTTTATTGGTAGTCGGCATGTAGGGAGGAAATTAGTTCCTAACCCTGGAAGAACTCTTTTATTGGTACTAGGTGTGTACTCCGAATAAATAATCCTTGCGACTCAGTGCCGCAAAATCGTTATAGCAACCCGAATGAAAGGCAACAGTGCATGTACAGGAAGATCTATGTAATCTGGCCTACGAAAGGATTAATGCTGATGCCGGGAGTCTTTCAGCTCCTCCACAGCTGCAAAAGCAAAAGCACCTAGAAAATAGTTCTTTTTAAAATCAAGAGGACGGGACCAGTGATACTAGAAACAGCTCCCCTGAAACCTCGAATATTGACAACCATTATCAACAAACCAGAGCCCCAGTCGTTTGTTACAAACAGGATTTCACATTTCCAGTATGACACACGGAACCTCTAGCCGTGCCTTTCCATCAACTTGATATTTAGCCCGTCTCTCTATAATCTTCTCCATTCTTTTCTCTTGGTCTCGCTCCCGCTTCTGAAAATATTCTGCCAACCGCTTGCTGTTGGTAACTTTGGCAAGAAGCTCATGCCGTTAACTAGGCGAGTTGAGAGCTAGGTACCGAAAGCGCTTCTCCGATACCTCTCTGCGAGCGAGCCAACAAACAAACGAACACATGAACAAAAACGAAAGAACAAATGACTAACGATGAAGACTCTAACCTACTAAACATGCCGAGCAACATTCACGGTTTCCAACAGGTTGGTCAGCTGAGGAGCCCCTGAGATTCTTCTGGTCGACGTGGCTGACTTCGCTGTTGCCCTCGGGAAGGTCAGCCTCCACCATTCCCGGCATTGGTGTCTCTTCGATGGAGAGGTCCCCCATTACCCTTTTCTTCGAGCCGTCAACGACGGATAGGCCACGCTCAACGTCTTCCATTAGGCTGCCAGCTTTCGCGTCTGTGCCTTTTGCCGGTTCGGCACCTTCGCTCCTCTCAGCCTCCGCCTCAGCCATCTCACCACTCCATCTTCCGACCGACCCCCAAACCTCCTCCCACTCCTCCACCAACTCCAGCTCCTGCATCAGCTTTTTGACCCCCTCATCGCACCCGTCAAGCAAAAGCACATCGTTCGCCCGCCCCCCACTCCCCCTACCCACGCATTTTAGATTAAACCCTTAACAGCCCTCCTTCACCTGTCCTAGAAGCGCCGTAAAAAAATAAGCACTCTACACACTCTGCTCAACAATTACTAGGTCTGCCTCCTTGGCAATTCCAAGTCCCATCGGAAACTCTCTCTGCAAGCTCTCCCCAAGGAATACAATAGTTGGTACACCAAACCAGCACAAGCCCCACGCTAGGGAACACTTGCGGTGAGAATGTACTCCTTCCTTTTATCAACGGGGGACACAGCGTGACAATCGACGCAGGACTGCTCTGTGAACAAGCTATAAGCTTCGACGGGCGTCTCCAGAGGAACTCCTGCATAGTCTTCAAGCTTGTCTATGTTCTGGCAGCAATTTCTTCTTCGTCGTTAGTGATATGAAGGCATGCGCGACCCCGGGGTGAATAGGCAGGGGTGCAGGAATTTCCCCAGGGTTTAGGGAGGCGGTGGTTGGTGCAGAAGCTGACGTCGAAGGTGGCCTCCTGCTGCGGGAGGTTAATAGTTTGGAGGTTTGGGTAGGGCGTGTGCCTGGTTTGCGGAAGCTCGGGATGCCGGCGGAGGTGGAGACTCCAGTATAACCCCAGAAGACATGTTACCTTCTGGTGGTGGGAGCGGCGGTGGGGCTTTGGGAGAGGTACAGGAAAAAACTAGCTTTGGCACTTACCCCTGGGAATGAACTCTGCCACTGCGGGAAGGTCATACCGGGGGAGTGTTTCTAGAGGGGTGTCGACATCGACCTAGGCAATGGTTTGGCACTCCTTCTTTCTTTTGAAAGTGCTCTGTCTTTCAATAGGTTGGGTACAGATATTGACAGTGTAATGTTGAAGGAAGTTTCCGGTATGGTGGGGGTGGGGCGCAAAGAGCATCACGTTTAGGAGTTGGCTGGCTAAAGAGGCTGCATGTCAAGGGCAGAATGATGTCATTAATCGCTATTGGTGCTTGTACGAGTAGACTTCACAGTAGACCAGATGAAGGGGCAAAATAGCGTGGAGTCACCAGGGGGACAAAAGAAGTGAACTGTGATCAAAGGGAAAATTTTTGATTTCGCCCGGGCTCGAACCGGCGACCACCCTTGTCTTGGGCTGGTATGATAACCAACCGCGCTACAAAACCGTAGACGTGAACTTTGCCCTGCATCTGGCATCCCGTCGCTGGTACAGCCGAATGGAATAATCAGGTTTTGACCTGGGCACGAAATAAGTGCGAAGCTGAGACGTACGATTGCGTCAAAATTAGAGCATCCTACTGTTGCCCAGCATACAAGAAAGGTGAAAATCCATGTTACCCCCCATAGCACGAAACGGCTTTGAATTTGAACATTTTCTCCATCCCCCCGGCCCTTCTAAGGTCGTGACGCTCACTCCTTGACTTCATATCCCCATTCAAACGCTCCTCCGAGAACAGCTATTCTCCGAATTCCACCACCCGGGCACGCCCCCCCCCCCCCCCTCCACTACTTTCCCCACCCGATATTCTGTCACCCAACTCTCCACACTCTCCACAGCATAGCAAATCAAATCGTCCCTTCCGATGCCCCTTCAATCCACTCCCCTGACTCCTCTCGTGATGCTTGTGCACGTCATTTGAAGTAACGAGAGGGCGGGCCATATCAGAGCAGAACCAATGCAATCAGTCGCTTGAGTTACGGCCTTATGAGCACACTCGGCACCACAGCACCGGCCAGCTCTCGCTCGCTCTCCTCTTCTTGTTTTCACACAGTCTTTATTGTTCTGAGTTACCCATCTCGAGCCACTCACCTCCAGCATAGAGAGGAGGGAAGACGGAAAAATTGATTTCGATGCCGCCCACACCCTGGAGAACGCGCGGAAATTCTGGGGCGGTAAAAGTGCTCCTCCTCTACACCATGTTTCTCCATTGTGTGATCGCTGCTGACCTTAACAGAGCTAGGCAATAACGCCAGTTCCCATTACTAATTGGCGATAGAAGCTCATTGACCGGGCTCTGATGTCTTATCTAGCAATCCCTGCCTCGTTCGTGGGTGCAATGCCCCCTCATGAACATTCTCCTCCTTGCGACAGCCACTTCCTCCCTCCGTTTTTTCTACCGAAATTCCCAACATTACGGGTCTCCAGTTTTTTGTTTACTCAGGACCTCAAGTTTTGACACAGAGGTTGCGGCCGGGCACTTGGTTTTCTTGGTACGATTTGGCGAAGTGAGTCTACAAGCTCTTGGACTCTCCATGGTTTACGGAATATAGAAGTTATATCCGCCGGCGCATGGTCGGCCCTTTAACGGAGGTTGGGCCCGCCCACGTTTTTAGCCTCAGTTCGACCTTCCTTCAGTGGGGGGCATTGTGTGGCTGACGACGGTGTACACGGGGTTTTGGCCCTTCAATTGCACTCGGGTGCGCTCGTTCTGCTGTATGACGGCCGCGGAGCGCGGAAGATATTTGAGAGAATGTTAGAAGAGGACCATTTTATCAGGTTAATAGGCCTGGTTCAGAAGAGGAGGGATGAGGGTGGAAGGCTCTGGCGGTCACTTGAAGAATTGCTTTACGAGGTGTCTCGGATACAGCTCTTGAGACGTAGGGACTTGGGTAGAATTTCCAGTTAGCTATTTGGCAGCTAGGAGCTTCGAACGCCACTGACTCTGCAATAGGAGTGATTGATGAAGAATTGATAGCGTATGGTTTTTGGGTTGGTTGGGGGGATCCTGAGGATCCTAATGACCCATATCGTTACCTGATAATCAGGATTTTGGTATGATACATATATCCCCTCAAGGGTTGGCAAACACTGCGCTCGGACTGACACTTTGCTAGCTTACAGTACATGTTTATCAGCCCATGCACCTACTTCAACTCATGTAGGCCCACCGGCCCCTCTAACGAATCAAGTTGTGAAAACTTTTTGTTCTCATCGTTCTACATTCAAGACTTTTGGTGAGAATATCATCCTTCTCCCTAACTGGGAGAGAGAGTCGCGTAGCTTAATGGGAACTATAGCTTGACAGAGGCTAAAGATATAGGGGTACCGCAGGTGAAACTTGCTTGCAATCGTTAATAAATCCGGAAACCTCTCCACCTCCTCTTCACCACGATTGCAACATATGAATACAATTACAAAAATGACCTGCGGGTTTTGATGGAGGTCATGATCCGCAACCTCTTAGCCCTTCCGGACAGGTCTGAGCCGGTAACGGTTCCCTCCTATCTGAGCCCGCTCTCAGACAGGGTATACTAATATGGCGAAAAACCAGCTCCGACACCTACCTCCGCGTCCGATACCCACTCCTAGAACACACCCAACTCCACCACCGGCCACACTACAAGTGTGGACAAGTCCTCAAACTCCGGGAATGTTTGAGCGGCGTGCGAAGCAACTACTTCCAACTAGGCGACCAAACAACCATCTGTCTCGTCTCGCCCTGAGGAAATGTCCCATGGATTTGATCAGTGCCTGGAGAGAACATGGAAATAGAGAATCTAGCGCACAGGTCCCTAGGATTAAGTCTAGCATATCAGGGTCAGAGCTCTATCGGTTTGATGGAGGTGGCCTCCAAAGTAGAGAATCTGGGAGTCATCAATCCGTCCCGGAGATTGAGCACTGGGGGAACTGATTTAGATGGCGACGGTAATTGAAGTGGGGTGGAGATTGCTGGGGAGGCGTGACGGGGTAGGCTGATGGTGGATATGATGGATAATATGATGGTTTATTATCGGATTGGTGCATGGCGGTGGTTGTAAAGTACCCTACCAAATCGTTCCGTACGACATGAGTTTTTACACCAAATATGGCGAAAAATCAACACTTTCAGAGCCACAACACCCACCACTGCCTTCTTAAAAACAACTGAATTTTTGATATTGGGTAGGAAAATCACTTAGGCCTCATTGTCATAGAAGCATGAATAAAGGATGATGAAATTGAGTCAATGGCTTACAATGGTATCGCCAAGTCTAAAAGTGACTTAATATTTTATATTGGGCTCCATAGAAAAAGGTACTGTACATGGCAACCATATACCATGCACTTGCCTCATGCTGTCTCCACGATTTTATAGGTTTTGAAAGTTCTGCAAAGTTTTATATGTTATCCTCGGTTAAAATCTTTGTCTATATACGGACTCGGAGAAGATGTCTCTCTGTTTAAGTTCTTTAGCGTAAGCTTTAAATACAAACTTTGGGTAATTGATATTGTGTTCCTCACCATCATGCTCTATTGAGGTGGCGAGTTGAAAGACACATTTTGTCACTTTGCACATTTGTTAAATTTTTCTTACCCAGAATTTCTTCTCCCCATTGAATTCCGGACATGAGGGTCGTTTAGATACCGAGGAGAATCTGAAAAAAAAAATCCTAGCTGTGAACAGAGGTGTGGTAATGTCTGGCTTCTACAATGGACAGTCTAATGCAGGTCACGCTTCTATGCCACTACCCTCCTTGCATGACCTTGGAGGGAAGCTGAGAGGCTGTCTGTACACGTTAGCCTTTCTCGCCAAGAAAAATTCATACTGCGGCAGGTCTTTTAACTGCGGAACCAGCCCCCTTCTATCTCTATTACCATGTCGTACAAACCAGAATAACTCACTTTTCGGCGGAACACTTCATGTATATTGTAGTTCCAGGGGCAGATCACCTATCGTACACAACATACGATCTTGGACAGCAATACTTAACACAATTTGGTATATTCATCCTAGCCCGCTCAGAAACGGGTGCGTCTCCGGAACGTGCTATGAGGTCGGCGTCTCTAACCGTGGTCAACAACTGCTATTGTGCTCTCCGCTTCTTTTGATATCTCGTGGGTAGCTCGGATAGTTGCTGCCCCTGCGGGCCTCCCTGCGTGCATAGTAGATACTTTAAAATTACTCGGTATCCTGCGCAAACTCTCTTAGAGCAATTGAATGGCTGATAGCCCTTTGCACTACCGCGTCACGAGCGAATTGAGGCGACATATTTTATCTTGCTTGAGTCCAGTTTTCCTCGCTCCAATTTTGGTCTTCTTTTGATGTCCTGTTTGATTCCGGGGTCGTAGCCGCGTACACGAGTATAATTTCCTTAGCCAAGTAGGGGAAAGTGTGCCATGTTCCGGGAGATCTGTATTTAAGTAGTACCGAATATTATCGTATTGTGAAGGGTTGATGCTGTACTGGAATTTACCGCTGTAAATTGTAACACTTGGAAACGCTATCTTCAATATAGAAATTTATGGGTACTAGTATCTATTATAGGAGGTTATGGTAAAGGAAGTACTACAAGGTTGGCTCTCCTTATCCTAAGCGGGCTTAGGTCGCTAGCCGGCAGAGATTGAGGTATAGCTATAGCGGATGGACGTCCGTCATGTGGGGTGTGGTAAGGAGAATGCTGCTGTGTTTTTGGTAATCATATTTCAAGTGACGGATATATCTATTGGTCATATGGGTATGGTGTTGAAAATCAGGAGTTACTGCGCAGCATGCTCTCGGAAGTGTCACGAATATCATGTTTCGGCTCCTGGTCGAAGCAGGTTCCTGACCGGAGATGTTTTGACAGTGGAGAAGATTTTTTCCTGTGTAGCAACAGTGTTACAGACTAGTGATGCGAAACGAGAAAATCTTTTCTCTTCGCACTAGCATTAGGGGGAGAGGATAGTATTTCCACGGAGGTTTGGAAGTTTGGGTTCGATGTGATTATAAGTTCTGTACTTTTCCTTCGTTTATCTTTCCTTCAGAGCAATAAGAAGTCATCTCGTTCATAAGTTGTTTTCCTTCCCACTTGTCAGTCTTTTCTCTATCCATTTCTCTTGATATATCGTCACTCTCTTCTATAAATCAAAACGGTCTTGGTTGAAGCTGTACCTTGTTGCATTATTTGTAAAATATGGTTGGACTATCGACTTAGGGATGATCTTAACAGAATACGAGCAGAAGGAACAACTGAAGAAGAGGAATTTTGCATGCACAAATATCCCTATGCCTAGCGATGGGGGTTAATTGTGTATCCAGAAGGTATCTATAGATTTTCTTTTCCATGATACACCGCGCATGAACCCTCAGTACTCTTATGGGGAGGACTGCCTGGGTAATTCACCCCTCCTGTAGGCCACAAGAAATGGGAAAGAGGCGGTGGTGAAAACAGTTCTCTGGCGGGAAGACGTCCCCAACAGCTAGATAAATACGGGAAAGTGCCACTCTTTTGTGCTGCCCAAAACGGGAATGAGGGGGTGGTGAAATATTACCCGGACGGGAGGACGTGAACTCCAACAAGCTGAAATAGCGACGGGAGGGAGTCGCTCTGTCGTGCTGTGGAGAATAGGCACGAGGGAGTGGTGAAAGTGCTACCCGGACGGGGGACATTAACCCCTAGAAACTAGACAACAGCGATATTACGCATCTCGCGTGGGTTGATTAGAATAGCCACGAGGCAGCCGTGAAAAGAAATACTCGGAAAATAGGGCTCTGCTTCAACAGAGTAGATGACGAGGGTTGAACACCCCTTTTCCGTGCGGTCCCAGGAGAGCACGATGGAGTGGTGAAGAAGGTACTCGGACGGAAAGACTTTGACCCCGAGAAACTAGATAATGATGGCGAAACACCATCCATGCAGGCTGCTAAGGGTGGCCACACGGGAGTGGTAGCGCTAAAACGGCCCGCAGCATCTTCCACCCCCAGCACGGCCCGATGTTAAGCAGCCATCGCCCTGCCCCTCTTTCATGTCTCATTCCGCAAAACCTCCTTATCGATCATTGGCGTGTTTAGCCAGCTCCCCCCCAAAAATGTGTCTGGCTATGGAGAAATGATTCTCCACGACCCTGCTCCCCACCGTTTGCCCTCAAAATTCGCTAGACCCTGCCCCCCGTTAATTTCATCATCCTACTCTGTGGAAACTCAAGTTGTATCCGGGGGCCTCTAAAGTTCGGGGCTTGTGGGCTCCGTGGCCGAGGGGTTTGATTCTGGGGGTTTTTCCCCACCGGAGCATATATCCTTCCGCCGTGATGCCGGATAGCTTCAGCTTACCAGAATTTAGTCCAAAATCAACAGCTGACGAGTGATATTTGATAAAACAAGGGCTAAAGGGTCTGATTTTGGCTCCCGGGGGTGTAATATACTTGTTTTATTGAAGGTTTCTAGGCCAAAGGTTATTGGCTCTAGAGCTCCCCGGAATGTGTTTTGATATATAATACTAAATATTCCCTCCTCTAACTCTGGCTCTCATTGGGTGCTGGGCGGATACTATTGCTTAACAAGGGTATGTGCCAAGGCCCTTCAATTTTGGTAGTTCGAATATCTCTAACAAGGGAGAAGATTTTGTGCTTAAACACCTCCAATTCAAATTTACGGAGGAGTGAAGGGACTCAGGCTGCCGATCTGATGCGGCTACTTCCGCGGTTACGCTGCTTACTTTAATGCAAAGCACCACCGACATTGGTCCCATTACATGGGCTTTCTCTTGACTGCGCTTGGAGTGCCACTCTTCTCTTTGTGGAATCACTGATATGTAAGGGACTCTGCGATATCAGTACCTATAATTCTTTCTATCTAGGGGGTCGATGAACTTAAGGTGTTAGGGTAGGCAATATTAGTGGTTTGGTGCACATTATTCATTCGGGCTTCTCTTAAAACTAAAGGAATTCTCTAGGTATATATCATACATCAATATAGTAGGTATCCGGGGATAAAAAATATGTCCATTTTACCTCAAAATTGATGCACTACCCATGTGTGCTACCCATTATAACTGTAGTTATCAAAATCACCAAACAGACTTATACAAACAAACCCCAGGCTCCAAATGAGGGAAAATGTACAGAAAGCACTCTATCCATCCTCGCTCAAAGACCATCAAGACCTTTCCCCCTGACAAGTTAGCAGAACAGCAGCTATTGGGATCCAACAGGTCCTGAGAACAATTCTTATATCATACAGAGGGGCGGAGGAGGGGGTACAGCTCCTCTCAGATCCTTTAGGCCTAGAATATGGAGGTTGTAGAGTCGGCAGAGATAGTGCGTCTACAAGCTTTTAGCCATATGCAGTTATCCCCTCCACATGGCGTATGAAAAAGTACGGCTGAACACCATTACTAAATCTACTTCGATGTCGACTCTCGGCCCTCGCCACCCCTCTTTTAGTTTTGGGAATTTTGCTTATAATACCACTGTTGTTAGAGGTCCAGATAGCATGGGTGGGGTTGGGTGGCACAATTCTAATAGGAGCGGATGGGAAACCGGGCTTTGTGAGGATACATCGTTGTATGATATTAATATTATGACAGCATAAGTGGAAACATGTCTGTGTGCTAGGGCAGCAAGTGTGAGCCCTTGTTTGACCGACTGCTCTGTGCACTATTGTGGGAGCTTGCACTCTCAGCGGTTGGTCCCTCTTTTTTGTACTTAGCCCTATTTCAGAGCCCCCCAGCTGGAGACGCGAATACCCCCCCCCCCATTCCCTGTCAAAGGCTGTCTTCAAGGCGAGTTTCCCTTCTCCTATCCATGGCCCCAGCGCCGGGGCTAGGGTGCCACTATCTTCCACAGCTGCTCTCTGCGCATGACCAGTGTAATACCGAAGTTGTAATCCTAAGATCATTTACTCCGAGTGATACTGCATAAACCTTTGGTCAGTGTACGATTAATTAGGCCCGAGCAAGGTAGG